CTCAGTATGTGCGTTTCACTTGTATTTTACTGTTTCTTGTATTCATCATCAACATTAATAATGGCCTTGTTGAATGATAAATAAATGTTCTTTTTTCTCTTTTCAGGTTTGTGTTTTTTACTATGGCTGTTTGAACGATAGTCGGTAAGTAGCTAATCTTGATGTACACTCGCAACAAAAAGTATCGGTGCATATTGTAGTGTGAACAATTTGAGACCAGTGACGATAGGTATTGGGAAAGGTGAGTTGTTCCAGCCGTATGTTGACAGCCCTGTAATCCTGTTGAGCAGCTACTATGGTCTGGTCAAGTGAAACAAACCGTTATAAATAAGGTCGGGAATTGATAAATAGACAGTATGAAATATGAGGAGCTCCCTGTTAACAAAATTATTTGTGATACTTGTGAATATTGCCACATTAATTTATGATACCAAATAAACCACTCAACCTGGTCGTCCTGAGGTGGTGCAACGTGGACGGCCGCTCCGAGACCTGTCGTCTGTAGCACCAGTTTCGAGGTATCGCCGAATCCATCGTGCAGCGGTGTTCCTTTGGACACCAACCCGCCGGATAATATCTGTGACGCCGAACCCTTCTTTATGAAGGGCAATAATAGCGTAACTGGTCTGTGGTGATAAGTGGCATCCCTCAAGTGGGTATGTTAGTTCCTATTCTATTCGTTTAATGGTTTACCGGATTGAGTCTTATGTGTATTTTATTTTTCAATGGTGATCAATGATATTCAAATATGTTTAGTCCGAATAAAGGCTAAATTCATCTTATCTAGACGACCTATCCCCTCCTTCCTTCCCACCAGAAATGATCAGGTATAAAACATCTTTGCTTCATTTTCGTCTTGATAAATAAAAAAATAAAAAATAATTGTTGGCAGGATGGAAATGAACTATTTGAATTGAAAATAAAACAAAGAAGGAAAATGACTTGAGTTAGGTAGTTTACAGTAAATTTTGGTTTTTGATAATCATACTTACGGTTAGGTCAAGAGAATTAACCAGGTGATAAGTCAGGTCTCCAAGTGTGTTAGATAATTCGACAGAACTAAACGTCGTGTCTTAGGGCGAAGAGTGTACGCTGTCGGGCTACCTGTTGGCTTTACAGTATATTTTGTTCAATCATCTTACTATTTCCCTGTGTTTACCTTCACTGTCTCATGGCTACGTACTGCACCAGTCTGGCCTTGCAACATGATTTTAACTGTATATTCTCTTGCCTATCTTTTCATCTTGATTAACTCTTAGGTATTTATTCAACATTCTTGATAATAATTAATCATAGTCTCACAATTTACTATACTGAAATTTAATCTCTTTGTAGGATCAATGAAAGATTAAATAGAGGGTTAAAAGAGAGTATATTCTAATGCGTCAGGTTTAGTCTTCCCACCAGTAACCATAAAAGTTTTCTCTAGGCATCAACCAAGAACTTGATGGGGGGACTAAGATAGATGGTGTTGTGGATGGTGCCTTTACGCTTTAAGATTCTCTACTAAGCTCATTGTTTTTAATTAGACAACAGAACCATAGCTTTTTTCTGTTTATAAATTGGTTGTTAGTTTATTTTATGATTTTTTTTTTATATTTCATCAGATTATTCAAAGACGGGAAGAATATACGAGTTGATTATAAAAGTCTTTCTATTTCTCTTCCACTTGAGATTGAATAATAGTGTCTTTGGTTTGTTAGACTTAATAATTGGCTTTTTGTTTTATTTGATAACAGTATTGGAATTATTTTGGCTTGATCCAGAGGCTTGATCCAGACCTAACCTAACCTAACCTAACCTAACCTAACCTATTTTATAATTTTCATATTTTCTGTATATATTGACGAGAGAAGCACAGAGAGAGAGGTATGGGTGGGGGAGATATTGGAGAGAGAGGGTTAGGTAGGAGAGGAAGGAAGGGGTGGAGGGGGAGAGAGAGAGAGAAAGGAGAAAGAAAGAAGGAACGAAGAGAGAGAGAGAGAGAGAGAGAGAGAGAGTTGAATTGTTAGATGTTTGCACTCGACGATTGATTCTTGTGTAAAGCAAACTCACTTTCCATAATGAGAACGACGTGTGTATGATGAGAATGGTGTGTTATATGATGAGAATGGTGTGTTATATGATGAGAACGACGATGATGAAAATGATGTGTATGTCTGTTAATATCGAGAGTTACAAACAGAGGCGTGAATTTTACTTACCTTTGCCTACCCTAATAGTTGAAATATTTGTAAACTTTTTTATTGTAACTAATTTATTTTTCAGGACAACTCTCAGAGTAAATAAATTTCAATTGATTAGGAAAACTTGTCAAACTGCTTTTATACAAGACAAGACGAGAGCTAACCTAACCTAACCTAACCTAACCTAACTGTTTGGTAACGCTGACGAGTATTCATCAGCTGTAGTCTTGTCAACATGGACGTATTTCTGTCTGGCTAATAAAGAGTGTTGAAAGAAATAATAATCTCGAAAGACAGTGATGGTAAAGTCACCCCTGTAAAGTTACCCCTCCTGAAAATAATCGTTTTCTTTCTAAGAGAATGTTTGTAACTTACTATAGAAAACGGAGGAGGGTACACTACTTTAGAATATGGGTAAACGAGAACGTTTCCCTCTTTATCCTTTATATAAATACACACACACACACACACACACACACACACACACACACACACATTTATCATTTACACCACTTTACTTTTCAGCTTACTAGCCTTGCGGGCGGTAGGTCTGTTCATTGTTACTTTTAAGACCTTTATTGTCCAGTGTTAGTACAGGTAAGGGATATACAGGAGTGCTCGGAGAAAACCTTTCATGTGTGGTAGGGTCACTGCATAACACCCTTCTCACATCTGTACCGGGCCGGGCATTAAACCTTGGACATATTCGTGAAAGATACGTGTAATTTTTTTGTGTGTTTTGAGTTATACGATACGGTTATAATTGACTCAGATTAACAAAACCATAACCCGTGTGTGTAGTTGTGCCTGAGAACTTTACAGACGAAGCCGAACCTTTTTGAATATTGGGATCATCGTTCAATCAGTCTGAATGTTACAGTGTTACCCCACACACGTCTTAGGTCGTGTTGAAAAGTTGACAAGAAGTAATGGAGACAAAGAGAGACATTACGTTCAGCACCAAAAAATCAGTTTTGATTTAGTAAAGGAAATGAAACGAGAGAGAGATGGTGGAAATGATTGCTGGCGCTGGGTGATAAGAACGTGGAATTTGTTGACGAACTTTTTTATATGTGTTTTGTGGACTTTGAGGAGACATTTGACAAGATAAACTGGGTGAAGGTGATGGATTTTTTCCTCGAACTAAACCAGAATGGACTAGAGATCGAACTTGTATAATATTCCGGTAAATTTAAGATCCCTTACAGTTCCCTTCACTAGTGCGTTTACAGGGGCTCGTCAGGTTATATGTGCAGTTCCCTTCACTAGTGCGTTTACAGGGGCTCGTCAGGTTATATGTGCAGTCCCCTTCACTAGTGCGTTTACAGGGGCTCGTCATGTAAACATTCCACAAATCATTATCCTTGATGTAATTGTTTTAATAGTGTTTTAATTTGATTCCATACTATGTTTATTATTGTGAGTTTCCTTCTGTCGAATGTAAACAATCACAGCTCTGCCACACTGCACAAAACCTGAGGACCCCCTGTAAATGCACTAGTGAAAGGGACTGTACATATAACCTAACGAGCCCCTGTAAACGTACTAGTGAAGGGGACTGTACATATAACCTGGCGAGCCCCTGTAAACGCACTTGTGAAGGGGACTGTACATATAACCTGACGAGCCCCTGTAAACGCACTAGTGAAGGGGACTGTACATATAACCTGACGAGCCCCTGTAAACGCACTTGTGAAGGGGACTGTACATATAACCTGACGAGCCCCTGTAAACGCACTAGTGAAGGGGACTGTACATATAACCTGCCGACCCCCTGTAAACGCACAAGGGAAGGGGACTGTACATAAGACCCAGTACAGTATACTTGCCAACAGAGAGTAACTGAGAACTGACCAAACACCCAACTGGCTATTATGAGTTGACCAGCGATGAAGAAGGCCAAAAATCTATGGCCCAAGAAGCGGTAATTAGTGCTACAGGGGGAGCTTCTGAGCCAACAGTGATTTGTAGTTAGGATAAGGTGTATGTTGTCGATCGTCCTCCTTCAAGTTTATATTGGGATAATAATGGATGAGGAAATGGAGGTGGTAAAGGGAGAAAGAATCAAATGTATAGAGGCTAAAGGCTAAAGGTATAAAGGATAAAGGCTAGGATAAAGGCTAAAATAAGATAGATATACAGCTAACTAATGGAGCGTGTAAACAAGTCATTGCCTCTCAGTAGGAGGGAGAGTTTCTACCTCTCTCTCTCTCTCTCTCTCTCTCTCTCTCTCTCTCTCTCTCTCTTCCCCCTTTTGTGCAATAATAAGTAACTCTTCTCCATCTAAATTTTGTGTATATAAGTTTTGAGGTAAAAATTCAGGTGTGTTAATGCTAAGTTACTGTTATGTTGGTTCTTCAAATTTATTCTCTTCACAAGTCTCGTGGTTGTGTACATAATCTCATGAAATATAGTAACTTAAACAGATAATGAAATAGAGTAAAAATTTTATATATCGTTTCATAAAATGTTAAATTCTTACCTCTTGATACAATGCAGTTTGATGTTTTTAATAGATGAATAGAATGTATGACATTTAGAGAGTTAAGAAAATTAATTGAAATCTAATATAATTCTATTTTTTTATGTGTTACTAATTTTTTTTTATAAGTAAAGATCTTTAACAATGTAGCTGCTTCGTCTATATATATTTTTTAATTGGAGTTACTTATCACGTTGCTTCCTCACTGCTGATAAACTGTTCTTCTCTCAAACAATATGAGCTGAAGTTGTTTTGTATATGCGTCATTGCTAAGAGCTGAAGATTTCATGCTGACAATTACTCACAAGTTTAAGGACCCAGAAAGAAACTCC